CCGTTGATACATAAACTGCACTTCTTCATTTTCGCGTCTCTTCACCCGACTCCTTCTAGCCCAATTTCACGTCAGATTCACTATAATTAATCTCTTCTTCAATCTCCATCGTAATCGCTTCTTTTTTTTTTCTATATTTTCTACCCGTGAGATGTTGGCGCTTCAAAATTGACAAAAATAAGAATTATTAAATATACGACAATAACGCCCTGCCTCAATGGCTCGATGTGAAAAAGTAATTGTAATAATGAATAATAATATATTATATAATATAAACATATCAACATTCATACAAACCTTATATAATTAAAAAAAAAAATATCTTGATAACAGTAGAAAAATACGGCTATTATATGAAAAATATATTTCAATTTAAATTAAGTACCTCAATGATTTTTCCCATTCTTTGGTGGTACATCCTGTTTCTTTTTCTCTAAATTTATGGATATATGGTAAATATATGGGTCAATAAGAATGAAAAGATGTAACTATCAATTTTGAAGGTGCATACATTAACATACTTGAACATTGCAAGTGCTTATAGAACGAGGGGTATATCAGTACATCCACCATATTCGAAAGATTTGCAAAAGAAATAGTGAAGAATTGAGGGGTATATGCCCACATCGAGATTCAAGGTTAAGTCCCAGCACGTAGTCTTGTAAATATGTGGATAGATTCGGGATAATTACACTTTTGGTCCCTCATGTTTGGCCCGATTTCACTTTTGGTCCCCCTTGTTTTAAAGTGAACAAAGTTCACCTCCAAGTTTCAATTTTGAACACTTTTGGTCCCCGCCGTTTCATGTCCGTTAGCATGTAACGGAAAACACTATTTTGGGGCAAAAATTAAATTTTTAAATTTTTTTGGGGCTGAAAAATAATTAGAAATTTAAAATAGACTACTTATAATTAAACTTTAATAATATTAAGTAAAATGAAATTTATTTAGTTAATTTTTTTATTATTAAAAAAAATCATAAGAAGTATAAAGAAAACTAATTTTAAGTATAATTTATTTAGTTAATTCTTTTTATTATTAAAAAAGTAATTATAAGTAGTATAATTATAATAATATTAAGTATAATTATACATGACATGTTCAGCTAATTTTTTTTATTATTATTAATTTTTATTATAAGTAGTATACTTAAAAATACTATTAAGTATAATTAAAAATAACTTGTTTAGTTAATTTATTTTTTATTATTAGAAAAATAATTATAAGTAGTGCAATTATAATAATATTAAGTATAATTAAAAATACTTTTCGTAGTTAATTAATTTATTTTTTTATTATTTTTTTTATCATAAGTAGTATAATTAAAAATAATATTAACTATTAAGTATGATTAAAATAATTTGTTTAGTTGAATTTTTTTATTTTTAAAAAAATAATTATAAGTAGTATAATTATAATAATATTAAGTATATTAAAAAAATAATTTGTTTCGTTGATTTCCTTCTTTTTTATTATTATTAAAAATTATAAATAGTCTATTTTAAATTTATAATTATTTTCAGCCCCAAAAGATTTTAAAATTTTAATTTCCACCCCAAAATAGTGTTTTCTGTTACTTGCTAACGGATATGTAACGGCGGGGACCAAAAGTGTTTAAAATTGAAACTTGAAGGTGAACTTTGTTCACTTTGGAACAAGGGGACCAAAAGTGAAATCGGGCCAAACATGATGGACCAAAAGTGTAATTATTCCGGATAGATTCTCACTAACGAGTAGAAGCAAAAAACAAAAAAAGCCATATAGTATACGAAAATCTACATATGTGTATGAACATTAAAATACTAAAACGAATATACCTATAGCTGGCGAGGAGCACGGACAATTTCAACAAACTCTACATAGTTATGTGTGACGGAAACCCGAGCTCGGAATTCTTTGGGATACTCTTCATCTTCATCTTGTTCATTAGGCTTAGCGGTAAACACCAAATCAATCATAAAAGTCCGGCATAGGGCCCCCGAATTTTTACGAAAATTTGGGGGGCCCAAATTATTTTATTTACACTTTATATATTAGTACTTATTTTTAAAAAAAATAATATATATAATATTTTGGAAAATCGGTTCTAAAATAAATTTAAGCTAAATGATCAATAGATATTTTTGCAATTTTCTTAACTTTGGGCCCCTAAATATTAAATCTATAATGTCTCAATTACTTATTTTTATTCTAAATAAGAATCAATATTCATTAGTGTATGTATTCAAGTTTATAAATATTTATGAAGTCTATTTGCTATAAATATTATACGGGAGGAAGTGAACTAACAAATCATATTGTTAATTTTGATTTTTTTTCCATGTTTTTAGTTACTTTATATTCGTACATTTCAAAAAATATTTCGGGGGCACCGCCCCCGAACCCCCATAATCTTTTATTTCATCATTTTTAGAAAATATTATCTATATTCTTTTAATACATTCAATTTCGAACACCTCATTAATAAAAAAAAGGGTAATTACAACCACCCCTGATGTGTATGGTTAAATTATAAACACCCCCCTCTTGTTTTGGTAATTACAATCACCCCTCCACTATAAATCTTCTTAAACGTCCACCCTTGCGGCGGCGGTGTTTTGTTGTGGCTTGCGAAATCGATTCGAGAGAAAAAAAAAAACATAGAGAAAACAGAAGAGAGAGATAAGTGGGACGATGACGAACAAAATAAACGAGAGATGAGATGTGTTAGATCGTGGGAATAAGGTTTGAGACTTTAATGGATATTAGAATTGAATTATTATATATTAATATTAAATAATGGGGTAGGAAAAAGGGTATAATAGTGAACCTGTATTAATTTTTATTAATTAAAAATATTTTGGATTTAACTTAAAAAAATGAAATTTTTTTGGACTTATTGTAACTCGGTTAGTCTAATGAGGTGTGTTTGTCAAATAATCCATATATTAAATTCCACTTTCCCCTTGTACTTTGAATCGATATCACTTTACCCTCTTCTACTTACAATTGCATCGATTTGTTCCATTGTACCTTGGCTAGATATCATTTTACCCCATTTACTCTCGAATGCATTAATTTGCCCCCATGTACTTGAAAAATTATCTCAATGTGGCCCTCGTCGTTAGTTTTCACACATTTGATCTTAACACCGTTTGATCTAAGTTTTAAAATTACTAAAAAAACCACCCCTCCCAGTATAAATAATTATTAAAAAAATAAAAATAAAAAATAATTTGTGGCTAGCGTCATGGACTATGTTTTCTCGTTGCCTTCAATTTTTTATTATTTAGTTTTTGTTTTTTAATTTTTTAAATTTTTTTTAATACTTATTTAAATTGGGAGGGGTGGCATTTTTGTAATTTTCAAATTTAGATCTAACAGTGTAGAGTGAAAATTAACAGAGAGAGCCATATTGAGACAATTTTCAAGTACAGGGCAAATTGATGCAATTGAGAGTATAAAGAATAAAGTGATATCGAGCTAAATTACAAATTTACCCTTATATATATACCACCGCATCAAGTTGCCCGCCCTCCACTTTCAAACTTAACCAAGAAAAACTCATTGCGCAGCTCTTCTAGGCGGGCAGCTGTGTGACAAGCCCATGATCCAATCGAGTCTTTTATTACAGAAGGTTGAACTTAGGACTTCCCTAGTATTCAACTACCTCCTTCCTTTCAAGATCTGATATCGAGAAACATATATCCCTGATTCTAAATTAAATCAGGTATTTCGAGTAAAAGAAAAATGAAACGAACGAAAGGGGAAAATCGACTAGGGTTTCGAGAGAGAGAGGGGGGGGGGAGGAGAGATCGCTTGTTCTGAATACGGCGGCGCACCCGGAAAATATTTCAATGGAGAAGAACAAATTGCAAGTGTGTGAGGAGAATCAGGGCAATGAGACGAAACATAAGAAACTAAAAACTTGTGGTGCAGGTGGAATCTTGATCTGGTATAATGGAGATCCGACCCGCTGTAATCCAGACCGCATGGAAATTATGAAAAAATATGCCGAATTAGTTATTGATGTCTTCAACAAAACACATGTATGTATCTTCTCTCTTTTTTTTTTTTTCCTCAATCTAATTTAATTGTGTGTTTATTTCAGGCCACCACTACTAATGAATTTAATTAAACAATTAATAATTACTTTTTGTTTTGCATTACGTGTATGTGCAGCTCAACAAGTACAGTTTTGTCATTTGTGGGTATGGTGTATGCAACTGTAGAAAAGTTCCCAAAGAATTGGTGTTTACCGCTAAGCCTCCGAGTGAGTATGAACAAGATGAAGATGAAGAGTATCCCAAAGAATTTCGAGCTCGGGTTTCCGTCACACATAGCTATGAAGAGTTTGTTGAAATTGTCGATCCTCCTCGCCTCCATAGGTAGGTATACTCTTTTCTCGTTTCGCTTTTCTTAAGCTGCTGCTGCCATATGTCATATACATATGTAGATTTATATATAATATATATGGCTTTGTTTTTTGCTTCTGTTGACAAGACTGCATGCCGGGACTCAGCTCATTCTACTTAGCCTTGAATCTCGATGTGGGCATATATTAAAATATTCTTTTCTTGCTCCAATATAAAAAGTACAGGGACTCGTTAATTTATTCTGTGTGTATTACTCCAGTGCAACTTTAACTTATAATTACTACTTTCGTAAGATGTTCGATAATTAGTCTCTGAGTTACTGGGACTGTCCAAACGTTGTTGGACATGCATGTAGTAAAACGGACGTTATTCGTTTGCAGTTTTTATTTCTGTATGTTTTTTCGTACAAACTAATGTCGGAGACAGCTACGCAGGTGTATTTACATCTCATAAATTTGAGCAAAATTTACACATTTTTGCATGTAACATGAGAGAAGTCAATTAATTGCAATGTAGTCCTTCCAGTTTATGTTATAGAAATTTACACTCTTTTTAACAGCTTGAGCTTTATTTAACATCTTTTCGTATTTCTTTATGTGCAGGTGATTACAGTTTCCAAGTACAGAGAATATATATATATATCATTCTTGTACATAATATAGTTTTTTCTCCTCTACACCTCCTCAAGTTGGTTACATTCTTATACATCATTCTCAAGTTGGTAGGTGCTTCTTTTTCAAATCCTTAAGTCCATAGTAGGTATTTTCGGGAGATTTGTTCACAATGTTAGAGAGTTTCTCAGGATTGCATAATAGAACATTCAAAGTAAATGCATGAAAATGCAATGTTTAGCATGCTAGCTTTCAACATGGATTTGAAAATAATAGTACAACTAAAATAAACAATAGTGTCCTAACTCATCTCTAATATCCAATACATTAATACCTTACATTAATTGAAAAGAAGAACAATTACCTGTAGCAGCTAATTAAGTGAGATTGGGTTCGATTTCAACATACGTAACTTCTTTACCAAGTCCACTTGTATGGCGAAAATTTGCGCGGAAAGTTTTGACATCATCACATTCATCAGGTTTGGCGGTAAAAACCACATGCGTTATAAATCCGCCGCATATACGTTTTTTTGCTCTGAGAAAACCCACCACACTGTATTTGATAGGCTGCATGCACAAATCACAATAATAATCATTAAACAAACACATATAAACTAAACATAAACAAAATTTGAAGGAAACAAAAAAACATTAAACCTGTCTTTGGTTGAACACGTCAATAGCCATATCAGCATAGGGTTTGAGCGATCGGATAACTTCGGGATCATCGGAATCGTAGGAATCTCGGTTGTACACTACATAGCGACCTCCAATAGGCACGCCACTCAATAACGCCGTCAGATGTGGTTGCATGTCCAACGGAGAATCCGAATCCGAATCCGAAATCGGTTCCAATTTCTTCTTCTTCTCCTCCTCCTCTTGATAATTATTACTCATCCCTTCCAATTTCAATTCCTTCATCCTTTGAACATTCATCTTCTCCAAATTCGATTTCGACGCCCGTTTCATACTTTGATATTTCATCACACTCAGGAAATCGTTGACGGCCTTCTTCGAACCTGGTTCCCCATTCTGCAATTCAGATTTTTTCTTGCTAGAACAACCCATATCCATCTCTCTCTCCGATCGAGTTGAAACCCTAGTTGTGTTTTTCCCCCTTTTCGTATATGAAATATCAATATAAAAAGGGTTAGCTAAGCCATGCAGTGGGCTGGACTTTGAGAATGGGTTGATTGGGCTCAAATTCCCCCCTTTACTTACTTCCTAATTCCAATAATACTTCAAACTCATATTAAATTCAAAACCTCAATTAGTTTTTTTATTTAGTGTAAACATACAGTAATTTATTAAAATAAATAAATAATAGTCGATTATAACTAATTACACTTTTTTTTAATGATTAGTAGCGTTTTTTATACTTGTTTTTCAGTACTGTTATATTAAACTAGTAGTATGGATCCTTAACCTAGTTTTAATTACAGCAAACGAAGAGGGAGAAAAAAAATTAAATAAGAGTAAATTTGTTTATACGATAAGAAGTAATTATTGTATAAAATATACAAAAAATGTATACTTACCGTATATCCATAAATTTCTTCGTATGTTGACCCAAAAAAAAAATTGTCCTCATATAGGGAATATATATACATTGAGGGACTTGATTTAAATTGAAATGTAAAGCGTAGGGACTTAAATCGAAACAAAATAAAAGTTCTTCCTTGTCCTAGTAAAGAACTTTGCTCTAATTTTTAAAAACAAAAATTAAAGGAAAAAGAAAAGGCAGCTCTTATTTATTCAGATCTGCCTTTTTATCCCAACAAGTAGAAAAAGGAAAGGAAATTCAAATAAGCGACTAGGTTTTCGATTACGATGGGTGATCGTGTTATGAATCCGACGTGAAATTGGGCCAGAAGGAATCGAGAGAAGAGACGTCGAAAACGAAGAAGCGCATTTTATGTACCAACGGCATGTGAGTTTCGAAATTGCACAGGAACGAATAGGAGAAGAAGACGAAGACGAGGCAGCACAAATCAAGTAGGTTCCGGCTGCAGTGAAAATCCACGCAACTTAATATTCCATATATATATATATATATATATATATATATATATATATATATCTTCTCTGAACCTGGAATAACCTGCAATTGAAAAATCCCAAAAGGTGTTAAATGCTGCAAGCATATACATACCGAAAGAAAGCTGTTTGAGAATGTTAAATGGACAGTGTTCAATAAGCTACTGAGAATGCAACAGAAACTGAACATTGTTGTACCTCTCTCATGTTTCATGCTAAGTGATATAAATTTTGTTCAAATTAAATACAGATACGTACAATTTGAAAAAGATCATACACAACTTGATTATTAGAGCCAAGAACAAGTTTGAATCCCCTTTCCCTACTTTCTATTTGTAAAAATATTAGAATTCTAATTCTTAAATACTATTATCTGGTTATGGAGACAATACAAGAAGCGTGCACATTATTTCTCGACTTGTCCAAAAGTAGTCATATGCTTGGGGCATTTAATGTTATATCCACAAATCTATTTATCTAATATGTCCACTAAATTTAACGACATTTTAATCTCTTACTAATTCTCTCCGGAAAAAAAAAAAAGCACAAGTGTAGATACAATCTACACCATTGCTCACACATCGAGCAGCCTTACTGACAAGTGATCTAGTACACGACACTTGGCATAAATTGAAAACCATGGAAAAATTATTTAGCGGTTCTTCGTTAAGAAAACGAAAGAAGAGAAATCTACGAGTCCGTATACTTGAAAAAAATACCACATATGATATGAACAACAAAAGCCAGTAAAAATCATGAAACATATATAATACAGCCAGCTTGCAAAATAAATTATATTTACCTGTAGAAGCTAAGTTGAAGTTGGCGGGATATATTCGATATCAACATAGGTTACTTCTTGAGCACGTCCGCAGAAATAACGAAGATTTGCATCGAAAGAAGTCACAGGACCTTCGCCATCACCATCGGGCTTGGCAGTAAACAGCACATGAACTATATATCCAGGGATTAAAAGCCTGGTTACTCTGACCACATCCACCACATTGTATTTGATTATTGGCTGCACGCACACATTAATATACCAAATGAATTAAACAATTAATAATCTTAACAAAAATAATGAATAAATAAAAAAAAAAAATAGTGTAGAAAAATAATTTTCATTTTGGGGAAAGTGTGAAAAGAATTTGAAAATGCTATTTGTTTTGTATTTAATAGAAGACAATTGAGGGCGGAATATACCAAATAAAATCTGATCTAGCAGCCCAGCCCACATGTAAAATCGAGCCCATTACTTGGCCTAACCCTTTTTATACCGAAACTTGAAGATCCAAAGGGGGAAAACGACTAGGGTTTCAATTCGATCACAGAAAGAGAGAGATGGAGATGGAGATGGATTGTTATGACTGCGGCATGAAATTATCGAAATTGAACGCCGGGGAATCAGATACGAAGAAGCGCATGGACAAGATAGTTAGACAAGTGACGAAATTGCAAGAGAAGAAACCTTCGACGAACAAGCACACGGCAAAAATCAATATGATTCTCGACCTCGTCAATCTATTGAAAGAGAAAGAGGAGGAATCAGAGGAGGATGATAAACTCGAATCGATGAAGAAATTGGAAGAGGAGAAGAAACTTGAATTGATGAAGAAATCGGAAGAGGAGGTGAAGGAACTTGAATCGATGAAGGAGTTGGAGTTGGAAGAGGAGAAGAAAGTGGAAGCAAACGAGATGCCAAAATGGATGGAGATGAAGCTCACAGAGATGTTATCTCACAGTAGCAGGCCAATGTATGACCGAGATTCCACCATCCACACCTATACTCCCCAAGTAGTGGAAAAGCTCAAAGGTTATGCCAAACTGGCAATTGATGTGTTCAACCAACAACAGGTAATTTTTTTTTTTTTTGCTCTTAAAAATTTGTTTATGTTTATGTTTTCTTTAGTCAGACTTTTAAGGATTATTTGGTTATTGTTTATGTATATGTGTGCAGCCCATCAAATACACTGTGGTGGATGTGGTCAAATCAATCAGGCGTTTAATCAGTGGATCTGTACTGGATTTGACGTTTACCGCCAAGCCTGATGATGCTGAGGATGCCATAGTTTTCTATGCAAATATTCGCCGAAGAGTCGGACGTCCAGTGAAAGTAACGTATGTTGGAATCGAAAAGTAACTATGCTGCTACAGGTAATGTTTCTCTGTCTAAGCTCCTATGTATGTTTCATAATTTCATTGTCTTATGTTGTTTTTGTTCTGAATAATATGACCAACTTCTTATGGTCTAATTTGCTATTAGTGGACATGTTGATGAGGACTGTATGCGACAATTTCATTCTACTTAGCTTGATTTGGGCTTAACAAAAATTCCTTGCTCTAATATCTGGTATTTTAATGTAATAGGGGCTCATAATTTCTCTTATTTCTTTTTCTTAAACAAGAACATGGACATACATAATAAACTTTCTTTTCATATGTGGTATTGAAATTTTTGGAACCTATAAATTCTTTTGTTTGATTCGATGAAGAATCCTTAACTTCTTCGACCATCCAAGTGGCTGATATTAGAATTTCATGAACTAGATCATTAGTTGTGTCCATGTCAGTTCCGACTGTTGGAAGATATATATTTATTAAGTTGTTGTTAGGTAGGAGATTAGTATAATTATGTGGTTAGTTGGTAGATGATTAGTTGAAGTGTAATTAATTATAATTTGTGTATAAATAGCTTGTAAGATGAGTTTAGTTTAATATAATATAATATCAAGAAAATTAGTTCTTAACATGGCATCAGAGCCCCAACCTGGGCCCTCCACTCCATAGTTATTCTTTCTTTTTCACCATAGCCTACAATCTGTCATTTTCGAGTTTACCCAAATCAAAATACCCACCTGCCAACAGTCAGAATCCTCCGGCGACCCAAAACTCGGAGCGCCGCCTCTTGGAGCCCAGTCACACGCCGTCACACACGCATACAGTAGCGGCCCGTGAATCTCACGCGCCTCCCTACCTTCTCCGATCTGTCCGCCGCTGGTCTTGTTGTACTCGTCGGCGCCCCCCCCCCCATCTTTCAATTTCCGAAGTCAAAAATCTCGTCTGGTCAGAGATTTGTCACCACACGCCCGTCAGTCCCGGCGTGTACGTCACACGCGCCGCTCCAAATCACCCGCCCACCGACGTCATTCGGCTCGCCGTCCCCTCCTAGTTTTGTTTTGTTGGCCAGCGCTATCCCAATTAATTAAGATATATCGTCTTGGTTCCTTTCCAGGTTCTATCAGACCATTATTTCTCCTTTTTTTTTGGATTTCTTTATTAAAAAAAAAAAAAAAAAAAAAAAAAAACACTTGAAGATGGCTGCAAAAGACTCAAAAGATTCTAGTGGGAATATAGCTACATCATTTGCTATTTCTGGAACACCCACTATTTCTTGTGAAAAACTTAATGGAAAAAATTATTTGGCATGGTCTTCTTCGATTGAGTTATGGTTTCTTGTTCAAGGGCATTATGACCATTTAGAAAAAAACTCAGATCAAATCCCAGAAGATAATCGTAAACAGTGGGAGAAACTTGATTTTCAGCTTTGTGCTTTATTATGGCAATCTGTGGAGTCAAATATCTTAGCAAATTTCAGGGCCTTTAAAACTTGTTATTCATTCTGGAAAAAGGCTCAAAATGTCTTTGCTAATGATATTCAACGATTGTATGATTCTGTGCAAAGATTGACGAGTCTTGAACAATTGGATCATGATATGATTTCGTATGTTACTAAAGCCCAATCTGCAGTAGAAGAGCTTAAAATATTTTTGGAAGCCGATACTGTTGCAGGTATACAATCAAAACTCGATAACTTGTATATGGTGTTGATTCTTCGTGGAATGAATTCCGATTTCAATCATATACGAGATCAAATTTTAACTAGTCAAGAGGTTCCTTCGATGGAAAGTTTGATCACTCGGCTATTGCGAGTCCCATCTACAAAAGCTGAAAGTAGGCCGACTGACTTTCCCGAAGCTTCTGCAATGGTGTCTAATCGAGGACGAGGTGGTTATGCTAATCGTGGAGGACGAGGAGGAAAAGGTGGACGGCCGCAATGTACTCATTGTAAAAGAATGGGCCATACACATGAGACATGCTACTCTCTCCATGGGTTTCCCAAGAAGATTGCAAATGTCGCAAAGTCAGATGTAACAGTTTCGGAGGTTGAATATAAAGAATATCTTGAACTAAAAGCTGCTAATCAAGCTCAGACAGCTCAGATTTCCACCACTACCAATGCTCATAATTCAACAGCTTGCATTTCTCAGTCTGGTAATAATCAAAATTCATGGATAATCGATTCAGGTGCTTCCGATCATATTGCTGGTAATAATTCTTTGTTCTCTTCTATCTCTCAGCCTAAATTTCCTTATATTATTACTCTAGCAGACGGATCTAAAGTTATTGCCAAAGGAATTGGTCAAGCTTCACCCACTCCTTCTGTACCTCTAAAATCTGTGTTGTTTATTCCTGGTTGTCCATTTAATTTAATATCTCTTAGTCAACTCACTCGTTCTCTTAATTGTTCTGTTACCTTTGATGCTGATTCATTTGTTATACAGGAACGTGGTACGGGTCGGATGATTGGCGTAGGACATGAATCTCAAGGTCTTTACTACCTTCGATCAACTGGTTCGGTAACATGTGCTACAAAAACGTCTCCCAATCTTTTTCATGAACGTTTAGGTCATCCAAGCTTGTCAAAATTGAAGAAAATGATCCCAAATCTTCATAAATTAGAGTCTTTGTCTTGCGAGTCATGTCAGTTAGGGAAGCATAGTCGATCTTCTTTTTCAAAAAAGGTAAGAAGTCGTGTTGATTCTCCCTTTTCTATTATTCATTCCGATATATGGGGTCCAAGTCGCGTATCCACAACTCTTGGTTTCAAGTATTTTGTAACTTTTATTGACGAATTTTCAAGATGTACTTGGGTTTTTCTAATGAAACAACGTTCTGAAATATTTTCCATCTTTACTTCCTTCTATCACGAAATTGAAACCCAATTTAATAAAAAAATAAAAGTTTTTCGGAGTGATAATGCGAAAGAGTATTTTTCTTCAGCCTTCTCCTCTTTTTTGTCATCAAAAGGTGTCATCCATCAGTCAACATGTCCTCACACACCCCAACAAAATGGGATTGCAGAAAGGAAAAATAGGCATTTAGTTGAAACTGCACGAACATTATTACTTCATGCAAAAATGCCTGTTAATTTTTGGGGTGATGCCGTTTTAACTGCTTGTTTTTTAATAAATCGAATGCCTTCTTCATCCCTCGATCATAAGATTCCTTATTCTATTTTATTTCCTAACGAGCCATTGTTTCATATTGATCCTCGTATTTTTGGATGTACTTGTTTTGTCCATAATCTCTCTCCAGGCTTAGACAAACTCTCTGCCAAAGCTATCAAGTGTGTCTTTCTTGGATATTCCAGAGTACAAAAGGGGTATCGATGTTACTCTCCTGTAAATAAACGTTACTATATGTCTGCAGATGTTACATTTTTTGAGAATAATTTATTTTTCTCCTCCACCTTAGATGAATCTAATTCAATATTTGAAGTTCTTTACATTCCATACTCGAGCCCACCGGAACTAATTCCATCAACAGAGGTTCCTATTGAATGTCCTACAGTTGAGTCATCTCTACCGCTTATTACATACCAACGACACGCACAAGTTTCCGAACCAGTAGTAGAAGAGGTTGCACGACCAGATGATTCATGTCCTACTCCACCAACCGCCTCTACTACCGACCCCAGTAACAATGAGTTACCTATCGCTCTTAGAAAAGGTAATCGATCATCTCGTAATCCCCATCCTATTTATAATTTTCTAAGTTATCACCGTTTGTCTCCTTCCTATTTTGCCTTTGTATCATCTTTATCTTCTGTTTCCATTCCCCAAAATGTTCGAGAAGCACTTGACCATCC